AGCAGCAAGCCGCGGGCGATGATTCCAGCTCCCCCACGGCACAGGCCGCGGGCGATGATTCCAGCTCCCCCACGGCGCAGCCAGGCACCGTCTGAGCCCCCAAAAAGCGGAAGGTCCCACAACAAATGCCGACGCGGCGGGAATTGCCCACGGGTTTTGGGAGGATCATGGCCGCGATAGGATGAGTCTGCGCAGGACTGGGCGAAGAGATTGCCATGGCCCGATAATTCAATCAGAATCTCAAGAGACTCATCCGAAAACCAAGAACCATGTTGCATATGCAATCCATCAGCATACGCAGCAGACCTCGACTTGCATCCTCTGCTGGTGGCCTTGACCTCCTGGAAACCAGGGGCATCCGGGGTTGGCGGGGGCGCGGAGTCCTTCGGGGGGGGCCCAGCGTGGCCCTCCATGGGGACTGAAGCCGACAGGTCTCCACAACCACGAGGGGGTCGCTGACCGCCGCGCCATCGTCGGCCGGCGCGACCGCGGCGGTCCAAGACTTCGGGGGCCCATGACCTGGCGCGCCCGACGAGCCCACTTGTCGACCCCAGCTTTCAGCCATTCGTTCCGGGATGCGCATCCCCGGGCTTGGCGCCCCCCGCCACTTGCTCGACATCAGTGGTCACTCGGCCCAGTGGCTCCTTCGCAGCTGACTCCGTTTGCTCGCTAAGGGTCGCGCCTCCAGCGGGCGACGGCGCCTCGGCAAAAAGGAAAGCGCGCCCGCCCTGCTCCTTCGGAACCGAGCGAGCCGCCTCGTAACTCGCGGCGGCGTTATCGCCATGGAAGTATGAGCGGACCCGGGAAAAGGCGGGGGCCGGAGGCCGCCCCGAGCGAACCTGGCGGCGGGGAATCAAGGGCCCCTCCGCAGGGGAGTTCTTTAGACAAGAGGTTGCCAGGCCGTGCCCGCAACGCTCCCGGGCGAGCTTGCGCCGACCGCAGAAAGGCAGCGGGCCTCTGGCGAGGCCACGCGTGGAATATGGGCCAAAATGGCGCGCTTCTGCCACGTCGGAACCAAGCAGATTTACCGTGCGAGGAAAATCCTGCTGGGCAAGACTACGCAATTCAACCTCGGCAAATATGGCCCAAGCTTTATGAATGCGGTTCAACCCATCCTGCGCAGCTCCACCTGTGCCTTGCTGCGCGGCGTGAAGCGCCTCGGTCAACTCGGCGCGGGCCCGATCGGAAGCTGGAAAGGTGCCAGTGGGCCGATCAGCCACTCCAGGCTCGTCCGCGGCAGCCCCTGGGAAGCCGCGCGCGAGGGCTGGCGCCGCGGGGGTGGTGGTGGGCGCGGGAGGGGTGCAGCGAGGCGGGGTCACCGTGGGCGCGTGGTCCAACATGTTTTCGCGAGGATCGCAGCGCCTCCCGCGAGTGCCGCCGCCGCCGCCCCCCAGGATGGCCGCCGCCCGCGGAGATTTCCGTCCACGTCGACGGGCCCGCGCCGAGGCTTGCCGACGGTCTTGCCGGGGCCTCAAAGGATGCCCTCGCAAGCAAGCGGCGCCGGCAGTAGTCTTGGCGGGCCATGCCCGAGCCGGGCCCCGCCCCGGGACAGCGGCCGACGCAGAAACTCCGGAAACGCCCGCGGCCCCCGGGCCGCCGAGCAGAGCGGACTTTGCCAAGCTAACGCCGCGCGGTGGTAAATCTTGGAGGTCGAGGGCCGGGGGAAGCGCGGGGGCCCTGTGGAGCGCGGGCGCCTGCGCCCCCCACAAAGCCTTGGCGGCGTTCCCCGGGCGTTGCTTGCGTGGTCCGCCTAGCCCTAAGCGAAAGCTGCTGCGGGCCCGACTTGGGAACGGGCCCTTCGTCGGGGCCGGGTCGAGCGACCGCGGCCGCCCGCGCGCGGGGGGGCCCCGCCGCTCCGCCGGGCCGCGCCCTCGGGAGACGCAGGCAGAGGCCCTGTCGGAGCGGCTGCAACTGCAAGCACCGCGGGGGCCTCGGGAGCTGGGAGCGGCCCTCCAGGCGCTCCATCGGCCGAGCCCTTCTGGACTGCAAGTGCCAGCCGCGGCGCCTGACTCGGCGCGGCGCTTCCTCGTGGCCAGACGAGCCGCAAGTTCCTGGCGTTCGCTTTCGACGGGGTCAGCCTCTGGGATGGCCGCAGACGAAGAAACTGCTATTCGTCGGCTCCTGCAAGCCATGTTTGAGGCTCTTGACCAAAGCCTTGGCCCGGGGCTTGTCCTCGGGGCCCTCCGCTCCATGCCCTCCGCGCCTTCGCCCTCGAGCTGATGTGCGTCGCCGAGCTCGATGGGGGGCCCTCGAACGTGCCGTCCAAGATGCGTCGCGCCGCGAGCTTGGCTGGAAACAGGGGCGCCGCTGGCTGGGGTGGCTTCGGAGCGCAGGCCGGGTGCGACTGACGAGCCAGCGCGACGTGCTTCTTCTCTTCGGCAGCCTGCAGTTCATCGGCAAGCCTCTTCACCTCGATGCCTTGCTTGGCTAACTGCCACTCGGGCTGGTCGAACTGCGCTGCCGCTCGCGACCGCAGGGCTTCGGCGGCCCGCGGCGCGCGGAACTCGCGCGAGATTTGCTGCTGAAGAGGAAGCTGCTCGACGGTGAATTTTCTGCTGGCCAGCGTGGACTTGCAGCGCTGCGCCCAATCATGGTCGCCTACCTTGCCGAGTGCAGCGATGGGCGATTCCAGCTCTTCGTTGCCCAATTGGGGCTGCGCCTCCATCATTGCCGCCAACGTCAGCAAGCCAGCTGCAGGAGGTGGAGCGCCCCGTGCACCCGCCCCCCCATTTGCACGGCGGGGGCGGGCCAGACCAGAAGCCCATGCGCGGCGGGATGTCGCCAGTGGGCACTCGGCGAAAGGAGCCGCAATGCTTGCACACATAGCGCTTCGGATCGTTTCTCTGGCTGGGGCGGAATAAACGGGGCCAAGCACCTGGTGCTGGAGGCTGCTTGGGCAGCTTGTTTTTTTCGGCTTTGGGCCAGCGGCTGCGGAGAAGCTCTGGCCCCGAACTCCACCTTGAGGGCCAGGGGAAGCCGTTGCGGCTGCTGCTGCTGCAGAGCGCCGCCTCCTCCGCCACTGCTCCCGTTGCCGACGCGAGGTTGCCCCCGTCCGGACTGCGGAGGCGCGAACATGGCGGCGCAAGTTGGCGAAACATTGCTTGGCGTCGCGAGCTCCATGCCAGTGAGTCTCAAGTGCTTCAGAACCACACGCCTCATTCTCTCTCGAAAGGTGGGAAGTTCAGGAGGAGGCCACTCAGTCAACCTCGTCCCTGCACGGGCAAGAACTTGGTCCTGTTTGGAGATGTGATCAGCTATGCGCCTCGCCGCGGCCTCAATCAGGTCCGCGTCGGCTGTAAACTGGCCCGCCTGGTAGCGGTCGTGGATCAGGGTGTCCAACGCACCGAGCCTTGCCGTCGCCTTCTGCTGGTGCGCCTCCCTTTCCGAATCCGAAGCCGCAGACACGGAATTCTGAAGCAGAGGGCGAAAAGGTAGGTGGCGGAGGATGAAGAAAGCGAGGACGGAAACACTTGTGGGATGCGCCACATGGGATGGGCCGCCGCTCTCAGCGGTAGGGCACATCGTCTGTGATTGGCTGGCCCTTTATACTGCCAGTCCTCTTCCTCGTCGCCGTCCTGCAACTCCTCTTTTGTTGGTTCCCTTGAGCTGGAAGGTTGGCTTGGACGTCTTCTGCTTGGCGAGATCCTTGCTCTTGATTTCATTGTCATAACCATTTCCCTTGTCCTTGCCCGTTCCCTTGGGCACCTTGTTTCTGGGCTTTGCACCGTGCCACGGTGCCTTCTTTGGAACCTGCTCGCGACGTCCTTGTGACCTCCCCCTTGTCGGAGGACGTGTTGCACGTGCCACAGCACTGCCATCTCATTGTGCTTCATTTCGGCACTGCGACATAGACTTCTGTGCAGAAAATGGTGCCACAGATCGCTGCCACGATGACTGCGCCACGTCTGGGTCACAACTGTTCTGAGCTGCGAATAGTCACTGCGCTCCTGCAACTCGCACCAACCACTTGCGCCAGCGAGCGCTTCGAACGGGCACGTCTGTGCCAAACCGGCTCGCTGAATCGTGCACGGACAGCCGTGATGGCGGCTGTCGCGTGGGGCCGACGCGATTAAGGGACCTCGCAGTTGCCTGGCACCTGCACCGAAAGGTCCCTGAGCCTGGACGGCAGCCTGGGAGGAGGAGGGAGGATGGAGGAGGAAGGGAGAGGAAGCGGGGCGCTGTCTATCCATCCCAGACCTGCGGCGCAGATATTCCTGCGAGGCTCAGCACGCGTGTGGACGTACTGACTTGCTGCACGAAGGCGTACTCTTGCACACGGGGGGAGGCAAGATGGGGAGGTGGAGGATGGATGACGAAGAAAAGAAGGATGGGAAGAGTTGCTTGTCATACAGTGCCTGGGGCGATTAAAACGGAGAAATACGGCAAGACAAGAGATGTCCGCAGTGCGGATGGACGCTGGGCCCCCCGCTGCATGCATGCAAAGGCATCCCACTCTACACACACAGCTCATTTAGGAAGGCTGCGCGCCACCTCGTGCAACTTAGGTCGAGATCGAGGTTCAGGGTGCTTAAGAGTGCAGGAGGCCAGGCCTGGACTGATATAACTCCTACAAGCGGGCGATTCGATGGGCCATGCGCTCGTGGCGCGGGTGCGGCCGTGCGGCCCTGCCTCCCGGACGACAATGCGGCAAGTCCACTGACGAACGCCCCGCCAAACGCAGCAGCAGAAAAACGACCTGTGAAACGTAAGCGACCAGGACCCGCGGCGCAGAGACTTCTGCGAGGCTCAGCAGGCGCGCAATGGCGGTGCCTCGCTGCACGAAGGCGTGCTCTTGCACACGGGGCGCCTGAGAAAACTGTGCACCGGATACCTGGGCTGCCAACCGGGATTCCTGGCCAAGACTCTGACATCGACATCACCAGCCAGGCCGATCAGCCAGCACCAGGAGGCAACAGAATGGACTCGCTTGATGAGGCTGTCTCTGTCCACGTCTGTGCTCCAGGAGCGCCCCCAGGCTGGCAGATCCAGAACAGCACGACCTACACGGCTTCTGCGCAGAGCTCGAGCGGTCCTATCCGCGCTGCGGGCGGCCCCCCTGCCTCGTGGCGCGGCGGGCCCAGCACGACCTCGGCGCTCACGTCGGACGTCTTCCGCAGGTGCCACTCGTTCAGCTGCGCGACCTTTGCGATCTCCTGGGGCCCGAGCACCTTCAGCAGGTCGATGCGGACGACGGCGCAGCTCTCCGCCGCACCCGCCCGGGCGCTGCACGGGAAGAGCTCGCGCGCCGCGCGGTAGACCGCAGCCAGCACGTGCAAGGCGCCTCTCGGGGGGACGAAGAGATACACGTCGTCCGTGTCTAATCGTGCTCATTTCTGGTTGTGCTCGTTTCTAGTTGTTCCTGGCCCCCTGGTGGCCAGGAGGAGGCCCAGGATAGAGAAATTTGAAAGGAAAGGATCTCGCCCCCCCCAACAAAAAATAACGCTCGAAGAATTTGAAATGAACAGTGTGTATTCCCTGGATCTCTCCTGGGGCGCAGCCTGGCCACCACCTCGAGGAGAGCTCGGGCGTGGCGGCGAGGGCGGGCTCTCTCCAGGACGAGCAGCGGCACTTGGCACCCTTCCCCCCCCATTCGGCTACATGCAAGAGTGACCCTGGGTAAGAGTGACATTTGGTGCGCGGCTTTTTGGGGGCCGCGGGGAGACCAAACCTGGGCGCGCAAGCCGCTGCTGCCGCTTCGTTTTCAGCCGTCTGAGGGCCCATCTGTGCCCGCACCAAAGGCCACTCGGGCGAAAGGTCACTCTTACGTCTAGTCGACCCATGGCCTCGGACTTCGGAAGCGCCGGCCTTCTGGATGAGCGCGGGGGCGTAGTACACCAGCAGGCTTGGCCCCGCCGGCGCGTCCTGCAGCAGCGCGGGCGGGGCGCCGTCAAACTGCTGGGAGTGCCCCGTGCGCGCGAGCTCCTGGGGACGCCCACGAGGGTACCCGATACCGACGCTTCCCGGACCTCCCCCAGGGTGCGTCCGGAGCAAAATTCCAGAGCGCATCCGGCGGTGGCCACGAGGGCCTCCCAGGAGGCCCAGAAAGGGGAAAACCAGGGACAGGTCCTCCTCCTCCTCCTCCTCCTGCTCCTCCTCCTCCTCCTCCTCCTCCTCCTCCTCCTCCTCCTCCTCCTCCACGGAGCTCCAGCGCAATGACGTCGCTGTCGGCGGGAGGCAGCGCGTGCAGCGCGTGGACCACCTCCGCCTCGAAGCCCTGGGCCATGAGGGCCAGGCGCCGCGCCGCAGGCCGGCAGCCCTCCCGCACCGCGCACGAGGCGAGGCCCAGGTCCGACCAGCGGCTCTGCAGATAGGCCTCGCGGCGGCGAGCCAGCGTTTCTCGGGTCGGGCGAAAGGGGGGGATAGCAAAGGGGGGGTTTGAGAATCAGCTCACGTAGCTGATTTTCCCGGCGCCTCCCGGCGCCGGAGGCGGCCATGTATCGAGGAATGGGCCCCTCGGTGAGGCCGAAACCAGCTGCATGCAGCAAATTCCGTAACCCCCCCTTTCCCAATCCCCCCCTTTCGCCCGGCCCGAGTTTCAAAAAAACAAGTGTGATAAAAAAACAAATGTGATAAAAAAGCAAGTGTGAGACAACACACTTGTTTTTTAGCACAGTTTTTTTTGTTTTATCACGCTCGTTGGAAGGGAGAAGGGGCGGGCCTTCTCAGAAGGCTCGCAGGGCCTCTGGCCTTCTGGGAAGTTCTCCGAGCTTCCCCCGAAGGCACAGGAAACCTCCCAGGAGAGGCGCGGGGGCCTCTGAGAAGACCCGCCGCCTGCTGCAGAGGCCTGTTTCTTCTCGATTTCCCTCCTCCTCCTCCTCCTCCTCCTCCTCCTCCTCCTCCTCCTCCTCCTCCTCCTCCTCCTCCTCCTCCGCTCGCCGCCGAGCCTCCATGACGTCGACCTCCGACACGCTGGCCAGGCGGTCCACGAAGGCGAACGACTTCAGGAACGAGCCCAGCACCTCGCCATCGCTCGGACGTCCATCTCCCGTGTTTTTTCGGGTTCCGTGCGTGGCTTTTTCGCCAAACGATCAAGGATGCTCCTCGATGGTCCTCGCCGAAAGAAAAATGCACACGTCCGAGCGATGCCCGGGCGCCCGGTGCGGGAACTGCAGCGCGAACTTCTCGGCCCCCGGCCACGGCCTGCCGCCGTAGGGCACCGCGCCGGCGAGGTCCGTGATCCAGTGGGCGAAGTAGAAGCTTATGTCGGCCTCGGACGCTCCACCGTTCACGATCACGCGCTTGAACGTGGAGAGCATCGCGCCGGGCGGGGCCTCTCCCTGGACGAACCAGCCGTTGTTGAAGTCGATCCTGCTCTGCGTGAACAGGATCGTGGCTCGCTGTGCGGGCTCGAGCGCGGCGTAGCTGGGCAGCAGGCTCGGGAAGCACTCCATCACGTACGCGAGCGCGGCATCGTGATCGGAGATCACCTCGCCTGCGGCGCAGCCCTTGAAGGGTGCTGTTTTCTTCTGGACCGTCGGCAGCAGCACAGAGTTCTTCATAATTCGCCGGCCCAACGGGCCAGAGGCGTGCTAAGATCTCCGGCGACTGCTTTACAATATTTCTACTTCGCGCGCGCGGGGCGGCCCCTGGGGGTCACCCGGCGAAAAGTACCCCGAGACGGTCCGGGCAGACTCGGGTCAGAGATGGTTTTCCTCCTGGGCGCCGCCCTCGAGGTTCTCCAGACAGCCCCAAGAAGGGCCAAGAGGCGTCCAAGAGGCCCTCAAGATGGTACAAGAGGTTCGGAGATGCCACAAGATCGCTCCAAGACGCCCAAGATTGCCCTCGGAAGTCCCAAGAGGCCTCCAAGAGCACTCCCAAGGGGGCCCCAAGAGGCAAGATTCAATGTTCCTCCTCACGTTTTGGCCCTGGAAGCTCCCCAGAAAAGGGGCTCGAGGAGGAGAGGGGGAGGAGGACGAGGAGGGGGAGGAGGACGAGGAGGGGGAGGGGGAGGGGGAGGGGGAGGAGGAGGAGAGGGAGGAGGAGGAGGAGGAAGAGGAGGAGGAGGAGGAGGAGGGAGGACATCCTGGAAACATTTTGGCGTTTCCACCTACTCGGCGCCCCGACGCACCAACACGGCCCCCCAAGATCGCCCCAAGGGGGCCCAAGAGGTCCCCAAGAGAGCCCCAGGACGGCCCGAGAGGGCTCCAAGAGGGCTCCAAGAGGCCTCCAAGACGGCCCAAGGGGGTCCCAAGAACGCCCCAAGAGGGGCCCCAGAGGGGGAACACGAAACAATGTTTCGAGCCCTCGGTCCTAGGAAGCCCCCAGGAGGCCCCAAGAGGCCCCTAAGAGGCCCCAACAAGCTCCCAAGAGGCCCTCATGGGGCCCTCAAGAGGCCCCCCAGAGGCCCCCAAGCGGCCCCAGGAGGCCCCCCAAATGCCCCCCCCCCCCCCCCGAGCACGCAAGCGAGTGCCAGCGATGCTATATTATGGGCCGGCGGAATGAGCGAAGCGATTGAATGTCGTGGACTGATGTGAGCACGAGGAAGGCTGTCATGCGATCGCTGTTGACCGTCAGTGCACCGGAGGATCCTTCGCGCAGGAGTTTTGCGCGAGTCATCAGCCGTCTCATGCCATCCCAAATGTCGGACTGGTAGAATGCCTGTTTTTTCTGCGCTTCGGCAGGTTCGCCCTGGGGCGTAGCGAGTGGCTTTCACGACGCGTCAACGCCGTACGAAAATCCGCCACCGTTCCTTGTGCACGTTGAGGCGTGGAAGAATGCCGAGGGCTGTCTGGTACGGCTTCTGCATTCTGATGTCGGACCCCCCCTGCTAGCATCTCCCCGCATGCATCGCCCTCCCTCCCGAAGCCACGATCCCTCGCAAAACAAGTTGAGCCGCGCCCTGGAGGCCACGATTCTTAGCAAAAAACGATGGATCTGCGTCCCGAGCTTCCAAGACGGCCCATGCAGGCAACCAACGACACCACGATGGCCCCAGATGCCTCGAAGGCGGCACAAGATGGCCTCAAGGCGGCCGAATATAGCTTCAAGACGGCCCAGGATGCCTCCAAAATTGGCCAAAAGGGCCACAAGCGGACCTCCAACAAGGTCCGAAAAGGTCGATCTCATTGATTTCATCCAGGTTTTGAATGGTTTTCGCCTTCGCGCAATTCGGGCTTCCGTCAGCTCGAGACGGCCCAGGAATCCTTCACGATGGCCCCAAAGCGGCCCGAGAGGCCGCCTGGATTGTCCCCTAATAACCCAAGAGGACCCCACGATGGCCCAAGAGACATCCAAGACGGCCCAAGCGGACCTTCAGTGGGACCCAAGACGGCCTCAGACGGCCCTTCGACTGCCTAAGATGGCGCCAAGACGACCCCACGAGACGACCCCCAGGCACCAATCATACGGCCAAGAGGGCCCAAGGACGGCCCAACAGAGCCCCAAGACGACCCAGGGGAGACCCAAGGGTCCCACAAGACTGCCTCACAGGAGGCCAAAACAGCCCCAAATCGGCCCAAACGAGCTCCATGAGAGCTCCTCATATAGTAAAGACGAAAGGTGATGGCCTGCCTCTACCTCCTCCTCCTCCTCCTCCTCCTCCACCTGCTCCCGTCCTCCTCCTCCTCCTCCTCCTCGCACGTGGCCGCGGGCTCCTCCTTCTCCTCCTCCTCCTCCTCCTCCTCCTCCTCCCCCCCCTCCTCCTTCCCCTCATCATCATGATCATCCTCCTCCTCCTCCTGCTCCTCATCCCCCTCCTCGTCATCACCATCATCACCACCATTACCACCATCATCATCATCAACAGCAGCAGCAGCATCATCACCATAAACATTACCACCGCCATCAACAAAATCACACTCTTCATCATCATCATCGTCATCATCACCAACAACATCAATGTCAACACCATGATCATCATAATCATGATACTTCTCCTCCTCGTCACCATCACCATCACCATCACCATCAACATCATAATGATCATCACCACCACCACCATCATCATCATCATCGTTATCATCAGCAGCATCATCAGCAACGCCGTCATCATCAGCATCGTCATCAACAGCAACATCGTCATCATCGTCATCGCCTTTATCATCATCATCACCATCAACATAAGCAGCAACACCACCAGCAAACACATTATCAGCATCAGCATCGTCATCATCATCGACATCACCACGACCATGGTCATAACCATGACCATGACCATGAGCATCATCGCCACCATCAGCAGCATCAGCAACAGCATCATCCCCATCCTCGTCATCATCATCATCAGCATCATCAGCAGCATCATCAGCATCAGGATCATCATCATCATCCTTCTCATCCTCCTCCCCCTCCTCCTCCTCCTCCTGATCATCATCATCACCATCACCATCACCATCACCATCATCATCATCCTCATCATCATCATCATCATCATCATCATCACCATCATTATCGCAACCGTAACCATCATCATCGCCATCACCATCATCATTATCATCATCATCATCACCATCATCATCAACATCTTCATCATCCCCATCATCATCGTGATCCTCCTCATCCTTATCACGGCTCTCGCAGGCCTCCCGCGCATTCTCGCACAGTCGACGCTGGAAATGTTGAGTTGGCACGGCGGCGGGACTTGGCGCTGGCAGCTGGATAGTTTTCGTCCGTCCATGTCCACGCGTGCAAGACAGTAGGTCGAGAACAGGGCTCCCATAGTGCGCTCGTACTCCTCGGACGTGGTCAGCCCAGAGGTGGTCTTACTGTGCCGTCGAAGCCCACAATTGTACAGACTCAGCTCCGGGAACGCTGCGGTGACGTCATCACGGAAATTGCCCAGCGTATACCCTGGCTCGCGTATCCTCTGCGCAGCTCTCGTCGCATGCACCTGGGAAGTCAACCGCCCATCCATGGCAACCTTGAGTTCTTCGTTCGGTGGCTCGGTGTCTTCCGCTTCGGAGACGAAGAGGTAGCTGGGCAGGAAGGGCCGGTAGGTGCGCAAGTTGTGCAGCAACTGCGTCAGCGATTTGTGGACCCGAGACTCGGCATCCTGCTGTGCCAGCAACTCCTCGGCCCTGATCAGGTCAAAGTTCACCAGGCTCGCAGCCACTCTGGAGGCCATGTCGACGGACTGCTGAGTAAGGCGTGCCTCTCTCCTGGCACTGGTCGCGTACATGTTCACCAGGGCGCTGTTTGCCACCAAGGGGACGATGCCCGAGAACAGCAGATGGCTCGCCTCGACGTGTTGGCCGAAAGGGTCGAACACGTGAATGTTGATGCCCCACTCGGCCACAGAGAGCACGTGCAGGAGCTGGTAGATGCTGCCGCACGCGCAGATCACGAGCGGCAAGTAGTCGATGGCCACCCCGGAACCTCTGCCGTCCCGCACCATGAAGCAGATGTCCACCAGGAGCACGAAATAGGCGAACAGGTTCCAGTCCCTGGCGATGACGTCCAGGAAGGTCAGCCAGGTGAGAGTGAAAGTTATCCTAGAGCAACGAAGATCAGCCTAAACATAACCCTTCAGAGGTCCGCGCACACTTCTTGGCTCGGCGCAGGGCCCCCCCTCCCTGGCGCGTGAGGGAGCGCCACGGGCGGTGAGCGGAGGCGCCCCTGTGGTGAAGCCGGCGCCGATCCGAGAACTCCGCGCGGAGCTACGACAAGTTCTCTCGTGTTCGGGAGCGGCCAAAAGGGGGGTGTCCAAGAGGGGGGGGTGCAAATCATGACCGGCGGCATGTGCGCGGCCCAGCGGGGCGGCCAGGGACGTAAAGAAACAAGAAGAGGCGCCATGAGATCTGAGGAAAAATCATGGCCCCCGCCATGATATCCACCCTCCCCTAGTCATCACCCTCCTCTTTTCCGCCCCCGACGTATGTACGGTGAGGTCATGAGAGAAGGAACCATTGTGCAAGGAATCCAGGGTCTGGAAGCCAGGTGGAACACAAACTGAGGCCGAACTATGGACACCACCGCGGCCATCATCAGACAAGGAATCGTCCAGGGCCTGAAGCCTCCTTGGCACATTCCTTAACGAATGCCCCCACCGTTGTTTTTCTTCCTCCGAATCCAGAAAACAACAAAGCCAGACGAGATCCCGTACTTGTAGAGGTGCACCAAAAGGTACACGCCAACTAGCAAGGCGCATATGTTCGCGCCGATGACCAGCTTCCACTTCAGCTCCCAGTCCGTATAGTCGAAACCGAAGATGGGAAACGCAAACCACATCGTCAGCAAGAAGGCTGGGACCGAACAGTGGATGAACAGAACGGGAATCACGAATGCTAACTGTCGGACCTCCTCTTTCGTGTCACCATCTTTTTGGAAGGGCCTCGTGAGTCGCTCCATCTTGGACACGAAGCCCTCCATTTCGTAGGCTCGAATCTGCGCGCCTCGACGTGCCCGGGATCTGCTGGGCTCTCGAAGCAGATCGGCGCGGCTGGCGCGACCTTGGACCAAGCCTGCTACGTCAGTGGCAGGACTGGGAGACCAGCAGTGGATCCTGATGGGCGGGGCGGGCAGCGGACCCAAACGGGCGGGTTGGGCGGGCGGGGCGAGTTGGCCCTGGTGGGCAGACCGTACGGGAGGACCCTGACAGCGGGCCGGGCGGATGGTTGATGGCCTTCAGCCACAAGAGTTTGAAGGGGCTCTGGAACACACCAATTCGCCGGCCCAACGGGCCAGAGGCGTGCTAAGATCTCCGGTAACATCTATATAACATTTCTACTTCGCGGGCGCGGGGCGGCCTCTGGGGTCCCCGGACAAAAAGTACCCCGGGCGCGGCCCGGGCGCGGCCCGGGAGACTCCCCCAGGGCTCTCAGGATCGCCCCAAGAGGACCCCAAGAGGCACCCAACACGGTCCAAGAGAGGCCCGAGACGCCCGAAGATCGCTCCACGACGCCGAAGCTGGCATCCAGATGGCCCAAGAGGCCTCCAAAATGGCCCTAGAGGCCTCCAAGATGCCACAAGAGGCCTCCAGGAGCACTCCCAAGAGAACCCACAGAAGCAAAATGCATTGTTTTTTTTTTAGGTTTTGGACAGATTTGGGCGTTTCCACCTTTTCGGCTTCCCGACGCCCGTAGACGGCTCAAGAGGCCCCAAGATCGACCCAAGAGGGCCCAAGAGGCCCCCAAGAGGGCCCAAGACGGCCAAAGACGGCCCAAGACGGCCCAAGAAGGCCCCAAGACGGGCCAAGAGGGCCCCAAGAATGCCTCAAGAGGGGCCCCAGAAAGGTAACACGAAACAAAATCTCGAACTCTCGGCCCTCAGAGGCCCCCAGGAAGCCCCAAGAGGATCCCAAGAGGCCCCAAGAGGCCCCCAAGACGCCCTCAGGAAGTGTCCAAGAGGCCCCCTAAGAGGCCCCCAGGCGCCCTCAGGAGGCACCCCAAATGCCCCCCGAGCACTCAACCAGCCAGCGATCATCATCCTCCTCCTCCTCCTTCTCCTCCTCGTCCTCCCTCCTCCCTCCTCAATCCTCCCTCCTTTCTCCTCCCTCCTCCCTCATCTTCCTCCCACCTCCTTCCTCCTCCTCCTCCTCCTCTTCCTCCTCCTCCTCCTCCTCCTCCTCCTCCTCCTCCTCCCTCCTCCGTACTCTTCCTCCCTCCCCCTCCTTCCTCCTCCTCCTCCTCCACCTCCTCCTCCTCACAATTTCTCTTCGACGCAAAACAAACTCTGCGTTTGAAAGGATGCAGGGGTCCCAGAGAGGGAACGCGAAAAAACATTTCGAGACACCAGCCCTAAGAGGCCCCCAGGAGGCCCCGAGAGGCCCCCAAGAGGCCCCCTAGAGGCCCCCTAGAGGCCCTCAGGAAGCTCCCAAGAGGCCCCCTAGAGGGCCCCCTAGCGATCCCAGGAAAGCTCCCAAGAGGCCCCCTAGAGGCCCCCTAGCGATGCCAGGAAGCCCCCAAATGCCCCCCAGCACCCAAGCAAGTGCCAGCGATCATCCTCCTCCTCCTCCTCCTCCTCCTCCTCCTTCCCCTCCTCCTCCTCCTCCTCCTCCTCCTCCTCCTCCTCCACCCTCCTCCCTCCTCCATGCTCCCCGGGCCTCCATGCTCCCCGGGCCTCCCTCCCTCGCCGCCGATCTACACATCCGCCATCCCATCCCCCCCCACTCCCGCTGTAGCTCCTTGCTCTACCATGCAGTCTCACTCGTCCTACGTCTTCTCCGACTCCACCTCCTCCAACTATCTGTCTCTCCCGATCACGCTCTCCATCCAATAGCCTACCCCCACACAAGCCTGGGAATACACTGCAGGAAGAGGGAGAAGGTAAGAAGTGACGAGCCTCGGGAGGAAGACAGCGCACACCAGGACAAGAAACAAATCCGCCGGCCCCCTTGTGGGGCCACCAGGCTGTAGGACCGTGATTCGCAGTTTCCTGTGCCAGTTGTAGTTTCTAGTTTCCAGTGTTACAGTTCTGCTTCTTGCTGGTTACTGTAACTAGTTGACTTCTTGCTGATTACTGTAACTAGTTGATTGACCGCGCGAGGGGGGGGAGGCCCAAACAAGACTTTTAGCGTCTCCTGGGCGCGTTGTCTGAATTGCTGGGGGGGCTCGAAATCGACACCCCTCACGCAGATCCGCGGGGTCAGGGTCCAAAAACACATGGGATTTGCCACATTTCTGAAATTCGGTGCCACCCCTCACGCAGATCCGCGGGGTCAGGGTCCAAAAACACATGGGATTTGCCACATTTCTGAAATTCGGTGCCACCCCTCACGCAGATCCGCGGGGTCAGGGTCCAAAAACACAGGGGATTTGCCACATTTCTGAAATTCGGTGCCACCCCTCACGCAGATCCGCGGGGTCAGGGTCCAAAAACACAGGGATTTGCCACATTTCTGAATTCGGCGCCACCCCTTACGCAGATCCGCGGGGTCAGGGTCCAAAAACACAGGGGATTTGCACATTTCTGAAATTCGGTGCCACCCTTCACGCACATCCATCGCAAGGCGTGGTAACCCAAACTGCGAGAACTCCCTCGGCCCTTTAATCGCAAGGTGTGGTAACCAAGCCCGTAAACCATACACGTCTTACCAATCGCCAGGTGTGGTAACCCCTCTTGTGATCAGTTGGTTTTGCTGATTGCGAATCGGCTTCGCATGAAGTTTCGATACTGCTTCACGACAGCGCCAAGGCCTCATGACTTAGCTCTTCCATGGCCCATTCTCCGAGAGAGGGGGCCGGCGGCAGGGGGCGAAGCCCTTACGGATAATGATCCCATTCAAAGCCCACCACCCTCGGACACGAGGGTTCCATCATCGCATCAGATGTCCCTTCCCCCCTTGACAAGCCCCAGAGTGAGCATCCACGACCAGCACACCCCCACAAAGGCATTTCGAGCTTTCCGCCCTAAGAAACACCTCCGAGACCATCACCAAACCCCAAGAAGCCCCCGAACGGCCCCAGGAAGCCCCCAGGATGCCCAAAAAGAAGCCCCCAGGGCTCCCCAAACAGCCCCCAATAGACCTCAAGAGGCTTCAACACTGCCTCCAAGAGACTCCCGAAACGCCTGCCAAGAAAACTCCACCAAATCCGCATTGACAACGATCCCTCGGACAAACAGCAGAGATGAGGCTACATGGGCGGACGGAATGAGCGAAGCGATTAAATAAACAGACACAAAGAGCAGGATTCCCGATAGTTTCCCATACTTTCTGGGTTTTCGTCTTCCCCCCCACTTCCCATCTTTTCCCATATCCTCCAGGGAATCGACGATTCATTGTGACTGTGTGTTTTTTCCCCTCTTGTGATTTGGCGGACCCTAGCGGGCGCGTCGGCTATCGCGAACTCAACGTGGGGGTCGGGCGGGCGGAGCAGGGTTGACCTTGACGGGCGGGCCGGACGGGCGGATAGGTGGGTCGGGGGCGAATTCGGGCGAGAGGGACACTGAATCATCCTCCTCCATTCCTTCTCCTTGTAGATAACTCCTCCCTGTCGCGCCCCGAAGCAAATTTTCAGGGCGGGCCGGGCGTTTCGCCTGAGACTATCCCGCCACTTATGATTCTGAAGCTTAAAAAAGTAACAGTAGCTTCACAGATGGAGGGCGGGTGGTCTTCAAATGTGGCTCTCGCCTTGGCGCCGCGCACATTCGTTTTAAACAAATTGACACGAGCTTCACGGATTGAGGGCGGGTCGTTTTCAAAATGTGGCTCTCGCCTTGGCGCCGTGCACATTCGTTTTAAACAGTTGCGAGAGCTTCATGGATTGAGGGCGGTTCCTTTCCAAAATGTGGCTCTCGCCTTGGCTCCGCGCACATTCGTTTTAAACAAGTTGACACGAGCTTCACGGATTGAGGGCGGGTCCTTTTCAAATTCAAAATGTGGCTCTCGCCTTGGCGCCGCGCACATTCGTTTTAAACAGTTGCGAGAGCTTCAAGGATTGAGGGCGGTTCCTTTTC